ATATATATATATATATATATATATATATATATATATATATATATATATATATATATATATATATACAAAACACACAAACTGCATGTTTACATAAAAGAGAAAAAAACTTTTTTCTTCTTTCTTCCTTTCTTTGTATCCCCATCATACACAAACCCTATAAATATATATATTTATAAATATATATATTTATAAATATATATATAAATATATATAAATATATATATATATATATATATATTTATATATATAAATGAGGGTTTAGGGTTTAGGGTTTGTGAGTCTCAGCAGTGCACATATATAAAACCCTAAACCCTTTATTCTTCTGCTGCTACTGGTTTTTTTGTTGTTGTTTTTGTCTCCTCCTCTGTCTCCTCTCTCTCTTCTCTCTCTTCTTCTCTCTCTTCTCTATCTGCTGCTGCAGCAGGAGCTGCTGTTGTAGTTTTAGTTTCTTCTTCTTTTGGTGCTGCAGTGGTTGTCTCCGTTCTGTCTCCTTTTTCTTTTTCTTTTTCTTTTTCTTTTTCTTCTGTCTCCTCTTCGCTGTCTCCTTCTTCTGTCTCCTCTTCGCTGTCTCCTTCTTCTTCTTCTTCATCTGCATCTGTCTCTCTTTCTTCTTTTTCTTTTTCTTCTCTTTCTTCTCTTTCTTCTCTCTCCTCTTTAGTTTCTTTCCTTATAGGTGGTAATCTCTTTATAGGAGCAGTCTCTGTTGCTGCTGCTGCTGCTGCTGCTGCAGGCCTTCTGCTGCTGCTGCTTTCAAGTCTATCTGCTGCAGCAGAAAAATGTATAGGGGGTCTTCTATGCTCAGCAGCAGCAGCAGGAGGTGCAGCAGCAGCAGCACCATCAGCAGCAGCAGAACCTGGTGGTGGTGGTGGGGGTATTATATGTTGATGGTGAGGTGGTGGTGGTGGTGGGGGAGAAGAAGACAAAATATCTTCTTCTCTTTCTTCTCTAAGCATTCTATATTTATTATATTTTTTTCCTTTTTTATTTAGATGCCTTAAATAACGAAAATTTTGATAGTAAGGATAGCTGCTGCTGTATGGGGACCATCCATACCCATAGTACCCGGTTGTGGTGGTATAGTAGGGTGTATAATAATAATAAGGAGAATAAAAATAAAGAGGGTTGTTGTAGTAACCACCCCCCCAACCCCACCCACCACCATAACCACCACCCCACCCATATCTTCTCTTCTTTCCCCATCCTAAACCACCACCACCCCAACCATAGTATTGTGCATCTACTTCTTTTATTATAAATATATCATTTATACAAAAAAAAAGAAATATACATAAAGAAAATACACTCATTAAGGACCCTAAGCGAGAGG